ACTGCCAGAGAGGTAGTTCCTTCACGAATCTAATAGTTTGGGAGGGAAGTCAGAGCAAGATGTTCAGATAAGAGAGCTATCCACACAAAGGTAAAGGTGCTGAAACCCTTGACACAAAAATAGTCCCAGAAATCAGAATGTTTGTGTGAAGACTCAGGACACATAACCCGGGAGAGTGCTGGCTCCGAAGCAGCCGACAGTGGGACACCAGAGGAGGAGCCTCGTGTGACACAATCCAGGAGAGGTGCTGAGGAATCCACGCGAGACAAGAACTATGAGAAAAAAGGTACCAAACTGCTGGGAGATGCAGAAGTGGAGCAAGAAAGACTGAATCCGGGTGTTCAAGGGAACTATGTCAGCCCCCTGTAAGCATTACCGGGGAGGACACGGAGGAATGATAGGGCTGTAAGCCAGAAAGGAGCTTTGGAGCGAGCAGTAAACAGAAGTGACGGAGTAGAGAGCTCATGAGCTTCTTCCTTCAGGCAGCTTGTTTTGAAGGGCTGGAGATGGCAAACTGATACCTGGAGGGAAATGGGGTCAGTGAAGGATTTTATCCCCCCCCCCTTTTTTTGCATTAAATAAAAGAAGCTAGACTCCCACACCGTCATACGGCTTGGATTACATCTCCAACATTTGCTGTTTGCCATGTTCAACTTCCTTTTATTTGTGATTCTTTTTTAAAAAAAAATTTTGACATGGTAGATTCTGTCCAGGCTTGCAGTGAAATCACTGCTGCTCAGGTTCCCAGCATCTTGCTCCACGTTCTGTTTAGACACGTGAACACATCCATGTTTGCTCACGTGTTCTCACTGGGTTTTCCCAAGACTCCCCTCTTAGCTCAAGCTGCAGCTCCAGCACATTCAGGGTAGGGCCGTAGTGTTTAACTTACAGAAGATGACGTATGTCCTTGAAGTTTGACCATTACCTGAAGGGTTGGTTGAAAATGATGTTTAAATCTTGCTGTTTAGAGAATGCCTTTATTGCACTGCCAAAGGGTTGAATGACAGAGAGCTTTAATCCTAACAAGGTCTAATTAGAAAGGGTAAAGAAAAATCAAAGCGGGGTGTCAACCAGAATCAAAGTGAACCAGAACAAGGAATACTTTTATTGGTTACATAACATCTACAATGTGTAGGATAGTCTTATTCACTTCCTGTGCTAACAATGAAAATACTGCAGGCCGTCTCTAGAGGATTCCAACTGTCAGCCACATCGAACACGTCATCATTTTGATATGTGTTTTTTGTTGGTAAAGTGATGTGCTGATCTTTGGGACTGCAGGGGGGAGAAAACATTTGTTTTAAAAAATATACTAAATGAGTCTTGGAAATAATAATTAGTAGAATATTACACATGTGTGCCTACAAGTATATACGATGGAGTACTCCCCCAAATAGAATTTTTTTCAAAGCTATATATTCAAATTATTTTTAAAAACAACCTTATCACCATCAAAGTACTTTCCATTTCGTTTAATACATTTGTCAAATCTGCGATTCCATTCTTGGAAACATTTTTCAAACTCATCTGTTTGGGTAGCTGACAACACCTCCCTCGTTTTTTCCTGCACCTATTCTACATCTTCAAATTGCTGTCCTTTCTTGTGTCTCTTCATTCTGGAAACAAAAAGAAGTCACACAGAGTGAGTTCCAGTGCGTAAGGTGTGTGGAGCAAGAGAGGCATGCTATTTTTGCCCAAACCTGGCTTACTGAGAGGGCTGTGAGCAGGTGCATAGTCCTAGTTGCAAAACCAGTCTGCAGTCTACCACAGATCAGGCCTTTTTTGTCGCACAGTGTTACGCAATCTTTTCAGAACCTCTAAATAGAAAGCTTGATTAACAGTCTGACCCGTCCCCTTCACATCAGAAACACAAATGAGCTATTGTCTTGATCTTTGATTTCACTTGAGGAGCTTTTTTGGGGGGTGAGGTGACGATGGCCTCTTTCACCGGCTTGACTGATGTTTGTTTTCAGGATGGTAAGAATAGCACCATGTCTCCTCACCAGTAATGACCTTGGAAAAGAGTCTGGGTCACCTTGGAGCTGGTCTTTCAAAGCATGACATGTTTCCAGTGGATGCTCTTTTTGATGATCAGTCAGAACCCAAGGCACGAATTTTGCAGCGACCCTTCTCATCCCAAATCCTCCATTACAATTTGCTGAATCAAGTTCCAATTATAGTCCAAATAACTTCCCCATTTCTTCCCCATTTCCGTCATCAGTTTTGGAACACACGTGCATGGATTTTGTTGACATTTTCATCTGTTTGGGAAGTTGACCGAAGGTCTAGAATGGGGTTTGTCATCAATCAACATTTCACCTTTTTTGAAACAAGAAAACCACTTGTACACTTGAGTTTTTCCCATAGCGCTGTCCTTGTAAGCTGTGTTCAACATCACAACAGTTTCTACAGCATCCCCCCTCCCCCTGCCCCCAGTAGGAAACAAAATTTCACAGCCTCATGCTGTTCTCTTAAATCAGCCATCACAAAAAACGAGGTTTGGGTGAAACTGCTTTTACGAAAAATTCGCTGTGACCAGAAAGAACCTTCCCAGGCAATACCATTGGGTGCACTAACTCTGAGCAAGTTGCTAGATGCTCACCTAGTGGGGAAAATGCATACTGTGAAAGCTCCGCCCAGTGGAGCTTTATTCTGATTTTGTCGGCGGAGGGGAGTGGGGGGATGCTTTATAAAGCACTGGGTTATCCTTCTCTTGCAAGATGAGAATTACTTGAAGTTCTTAGAAACACTTTCTCTTTTCTGTCTGCTTTCCAGGGAAGTTAAGTAGTATATATTTTTAACTCCCCTTGACTTAACTTCTCCATCCAATATAAGACTTTTCATCCATTCTTTTAATACTCTTTTCACCATTATTGTTAACTCTCTTGCCCTTTTGCTTTCCATTGAGCCTATTTCAGTCTGTTTGGGCTCAGCCTAATCATTTTATATCTTCACTATTGTCCCTGGGTTTCTGAACCCCATAAACTTAAACCTGACAACCATGCCAACTGTAACCCGTTGGCATGGAGTAGATTCCAACTCCGGGTTGTTGTCATGGATTGAATTGTGTCCCTCTAAAATGTGTGCCCACATGGATGGGGCATGATTCTCGGTGGTTTGGAGTCTATTTGCTGATGTGGTGTAGCCGTTATGTAATGGTGTACTCATGCCCCATGCTCTGATCTGATGTGATCATCTAAGTTATAAGGAGATGAGGGTTAGTGTATTAGTCTAGGTACTTTGAAGAAACTAATCCACAGCAACTCACGTATAAGAGAGAGTTTTATGCAAAGAGAATGTGCATCACGAAAACATCCCAACCCAATGCTGCCCAAGCCCACAAGTCCAACATTAACCCATTAACCCAACACCAGTCCACAAAGTCCTTCACCTCACAAAACAGAGGCAATAATGCCGACTGCAGGAGGAAAGCTGAGTCAGTGAACGTGTAAGCATCTCAGCACTGACAGGGGTCTCCACATGGCTGCTCCAGCACCCAGGGCTGCATCGGGATAGATCCATGCGGCTTCTCCTTGGGGATGTCTTGTAGGAAATCCATCTTGCAAGCTGAAGCAGGGAACTGCTAAGGCAGCTGCACCCGATGCAACCATCACAAAACAAGAGACCCGAGAACTCGAAAGGCAAGGCTTCACCACCCATTTATCCCTCTGCCTTTCAACCAGCCCCACATGTGATTATCGGCCAGGCTGGCACAATTAACTAACTCGGTGAGATAGGACGCCCTTACTCAGTCACGGCCCGGATATATCTGATGGAAGACAAACGTTCCTGGGATGTAGTCTGGGTCAAGCAGAGACGAAGGAATCTGACTTCCACTGGAAAGAAGAACTAGGAACAGAAGCATGCCCTTTGGACTCGGAGTCTCCTAGACACTTAGGGAGATGGATTCAAAGACGCATGGAGAGCGCCAAGGCACGCTGGACCCACAAATGCTCAAGGGAAACAAGAACCCTCCCCAGAGCCTATAGAGAAAGAAGGTCTCCCCTTCAGCTGGCACCCTGACCCTAGACTTGCAGCCTCTGAAACCATCCTAAACGACTACTTTGTGGTATTTGTTATAACAGCACTAGATCACCAAGACAAGAGCCCGTTTGTGTCAGAGTACACTGCTGCCTATGGTTTCCATGGCTATGTTTTTGGAAGTGGATTTCCAGGCCTTTCTTCTGAGGCACCTCTGGGTATACTTGGACCTCCAACCTTTCGTTGGCAACCAAGTTAGCAACTAACATTTGAGGGACCTGCTTTAAACACATGGTCTCCGATTGGGTTAGGTCGCTACTGGATTTATTGATCCTTGTTTGTTGCTCTAAGCCGGTCTCCCCTCCGTGGTTCTTGTTCTTCTACACGCTTACACTGTTTTCTCTCCCGCACGGTAAGTCCTCAGTCTCAGAGGATGAGTTTGATTCTTGTTTGATTGAGGCCACCAGGAAAGGATTACTAAGCAACCATCGACCCTCTCTCTTACGTGCCCCCATCATGACCTGCAGCGGATAGTTTTTCTCTCTCTATTCCTCCTTCACATTGTCACACAAGTCGTGCTCACTGGCTTCTCCCTCTGCCCTTGACTCCTGTTGAAATGCCCTTTGACAAGGTTACTGGTAATTGAAACGTTGAGAGCCTATGGGCCGTGCTCCAGCATTCGTCTTTTCTGGCCTCGTGCTGACATTTTAACATGAGGGAGCACCATGTCTGAGCATCCTCTCTGGTTTCTACGAAAACTCCACCCTTTGCCTTTCCTTTCATGCTCTATAGAGTCTCATAAAATCCACATTGCCATTGTTTCAAAAGCAGGGGGGAAGAAGGAAGTTGTTCATGCTTTACAACATGATAATATTTGGTGTGCGTTCTTGTAATTTTATATTAGTTACACTTTAAAAAGGATATACATGAATATAACACGAATACATTATAATATATATTGTATTTATTATATATGCCTAAAATATATATCACTCATTCCTTGTTTTCTTCTTTCCCAGTTAATGAAGGAATTCCCTCTCCTGAGCATGTTCAATATCCATGAAAATCTCTTAGAAGCCCTCCTGGAGCTCCAAGCATATGCCGATGTCCAGGCCGTCTTGGCCAAGTACGATGGTGAGTCCTGCCCACAGCAGTCTTCCTCTCTTCGTTTCCTGGGGGACTTTAGTGACTAGACCCTTTCCAATCACACGGAACTTTGCTCAGTATCCTCTGATAACGTTTTCACAAATTGTTGGACGATGACATTTGGCAGAAGCTGAGAATTCTGTCATTAGTTTGTGGCCACAAATGCCGTGTGGCCTGTGCCCCCTCCCAGCAGATCTCCCCTGCACTGTCTCTGTTAGGCGCTCACAGACACTGCAGCATTACCTCCCTGCTCAGGAATCACTTGGAACCTCTGCAGGCAGCACACACCCTGCAGGGACAGCGCTTGGTGACTTGTGGCCACTCCTGTTGGTCATCGTCTTAGTCACCTGCTCCAGCCAACACAGAAGTGTCACAGGAAGGTGGCTTGAAGGAACAGAAACGTATTTCCTCTGAGTTCTGGGGGCTAATGGTTGAATTCAGGGCACTGGCTCTAGTAGGAAAAAGGACTTCTTTGACTCTCTGCTTCTAGTAGCTACTACCAAGCTGCGGGCTTGTTGATACCCCACTATCACACAGCATCTGTGTCTAGTCTCATCCTTAGAAGACTCCGGATGGATCGAGTTTAGGACTCACCTTATTCCTGCATGACCTCAATAACACGACCAAATAAGCGCCTCATCTTTCATACAGGGTCGTATTTGTAGGTTCAGGGATTAGGACAGAGGGGTTTGGACCAATAGAAATCCTCACACACGAGAGCCCAGGAACTAGTCGATGATAAGATC